GTGTGTGTGTGTGTGTGTGTGTGTGTGTGAGACACTCACCTGCCTCGTACACCAGTGCGTTCGCTTTAGCCACTGAACGCTTGTAGCAGAGGTACAGCGCCGGACCCCACTGAACACACACACACACACAAACAATCAAAACCAACAGAGAATCCGAGAGTCAGAGAAACAGACTAAAAAAAGCAGAAGAGGGAGTTCACAACTGATGGTGTTTTCTGAAGTGTGTTTCAATAGGAAGGAGAAGCAGATGTGGACATAATTACAAGCTCAGCGCTCGTTTAACACGCACTGAGACAGATTTAAATCCACTGCATACTAACACACAGCAGAGAGCTAATGTTTAGGTCAGTAAGATTTACTAATGTTTCTGAAAGAGTCTCTTCTGCTCATCAAGGATGCATTTATCTGATCAGAAATACATTAAAAAAAAAGTGAAATATTATTACAATATACAATAGCTGTTTTCTATGCAAATATGATATATAAGTAATCTGTAAACATTTTAATTTTAATTTTAATTTTTTCATTTTAAATTAATTATAATTGTTTTGTTATAATTTATTGCAATTTTATTTTGTTTTATTTTAGTTATTTTATTTTATGTTATTCTATTTTAAGTTATCAAATATACAGTAAAATTATGAAATATTATTACAATTTTAAAAAGCTGTTTTCTATGTGAATATCTGTTAAACTGTAATTTATTTCTGTGATCAAAGCTGTATTTTCAGCATCATTACTCCAGTCTTCAGTGTCACATGATCTTCAGAAATCATAATAATATGCTGATTTGCTGCTCAAGAAACATTTCTGATTATTATCAATGTTGAAAACAGTTGTGCTGCACAATATTTTTGTGGAAACTGAGATACATTTTATTTTTCAGGATTCACAGATGAACAGAAAGTTCAAAAGAATTTGATTTATTTGATTGAAATATCTTTTGTAACATTATAAATGTCTTTACTGATTCATTTAATGCATCCTAGATGAATAAAAGTATTGAAAAAAAAATCGTACTGACCAGTTTAAGTTGTTTGATATGGAGGTAACAAACCAATAAGTGTTTAAAAAATAAAGCTGAGAGAAACACTCGATCATCTGAGTGAATCAGTGAATCAGTGACTCAATGAATTAGTGACTCAGTGAGTCAGTTAATCCGTGACTCGGTGAGTCAGTGAATCCGTGACTCAATTATTCAGTGACTCAGTGAATCAGTGACTCAATGAATCAGTGACTCAGTGAATGAGTGACTCAATGAATCAGTGACTCAATTAATCAGTGAATCAGTGACTCAATTCATTAGTGAGTCAGTGAATCAGTGACTCAGTGAATCATCACCATGCCGGTGTTGAGGTTCTTGTCCACTCTGCAGTAGGTGTGCGGCGCCGTCTCGCCCTTGCTAGGCATCAGCAGCGAGATCTCAGTGATGCCCAGTGTGTTCAGCGCCTGTGAGTCCGGCGCTCGGCGGAACATCAGGAAAGTGCGGTGCATCGTGGGACCGCCGGAGCTCAGGCTCGCAGAACGACTGTACGGGGTCGTCTCGATCACCTGCCATCCCGACCGGACCGGATCCTTGCCCTCGTACAGAACACTGACACAAACACAAAACACATCCATCAGTCGATGTGAACGAGCCGTTTCTCACACACAGGACTAAATGATCAAACTCTGCTGTTAAACCTGTTTCACACTCGATCTACATTTTTGCTCTCTGACACTCGCAGCGCACACACATAACGCCAGTTTGAGTCTCTGAATAAAACGGAGCTCTATATTCTCACTGTATCAGACTATATGAGCCATAAAAGCCTGATGGATCAACAAAATCACACATGCAAACTTTTTCTAAATGTTGTCTAAAAGGTTGAATGGTCTATTTCCGGTGTGTTCTCTCACCCGAGCTCGACGAGGGGCGGTTTGTCGTGTCCTCTGCGGTAGCACAGGAACATGTGTGTGTTGTTGAGCAGGCCTGCGCTCAGCTCCGCCGGATGGCCTGCTTGGGTCTTCTCGATGCAGGTGAAGCCCTCAGGAACGTCTTCCCCGAGGCCACGGGCGATCACGGCCAGATCAGTGACGGGCTGCAGCGCTCGCACGCCCCTCTGCTGACCCTCCTCGTCCAGCGGAGACGAGTCGCCCCCCAGACCCGCCACCACGAAATAATCCACCAGCTGAGGACAGCGCTCCTCCGTCATCACGCCGGTCTAAATGCCACTGACACACACACACACTGCTAGGGCAGCGAATTTTCGAAGCGGTTTCCATAACCGCGGGGAATGGAAAACGAAAACAGGGAGAAGGGGCGCTGCTTACTGTTTGCAGGTTCGGTGTTCTGTCATGATCTGCCTACTGTGTTAGAGCGAGGAGACACGGCGACAGGGGAGAATTTACGAAGGAGTCTTTAATAAACCAAAACAGGGTAACACACACGTAGGACAAAGAGTTGACATATAACACCGATCACTGGACTCAAGAAAACACTGGGCTTAAATAACTGAAACCAAACAAGGGAATTAACGAGAAACACCTGAAATCAATGAACACAATCAAACACGGGAGAAACTGGGTCATGGGGAGCACATGGGGAGCAAAACACAAGACAGGAACACAGGGGCAGCCCAAGGGCATGACAGTTTTAATGGTTTATTTAAATTTTAACAATAAAAATTATGTCTAATCAATTCAATTTGTAAATATTTAACAATTAAATAATTTATTAATGAAATGGGTTTCATTTTTTCAGAAGTCTGTTTAAATTTTTTTAGATTCAATGTTTATGATTTAATACAAATGAAATGATCAAAAACGCTGGTAATCAAATGAATGCATGAAACTATAACAATTTAATTAATCTTGTAAAATTAGGTTTATTTTTTTTATTAAAACATGGAAAAAAATGTATATTCACACACACTTGTTCATATCAGCATATGATTCAGTGTACAGCCCTCCTTTTGATTCATTCATCCAAAATTTGTCTAATTCAGTGACATTTCGTGACAGGAAGTGCACACTGTCAGCGCGTTTCCTGCTCATCTGTCTGACGTGTGTCCCAATGGGGTCAAAGGTCAGCGTGCAGGTGACGGGTGATGACAGACTCTCTGCATCCGTCACACTCACATCTACAAACACACCTGTCGCCATGGCGACCGGCTCAGGACCGGACATCCCCTGCTGGAAATTAACCAGGTTAACTCACCGCTGTTAGACGGGACTGAACCACATCAGTTCGGATCAGTCTGGTTCTGACAGACGTCTGCAGAATCAGTGTCGTCTGTTATCAGATCAGATCATGAATGAATGAGAGTCAGTGAAGAGACGAGCGAACAGCAGTCTGATCACACCAAAACGAGCGATGCAGGAAACTATCAGAGGAAACAACAGCCGTTTCACTTCACTTCCTCTTCATCGCTCAAGCCTTCAGAAATCAAAGAGGAGCAACGTGTTTCCAGCAGAAACGCACTGCTCATAAAAACACAGCACTGTCTGTCTCATGTCTGCTTAACCACTGGCTACTTTAACTGATTTAAAATCAGACTAAATAGGCTTTAAAACCAGCTAAAACAGCTCAAATCAAGACATCACATTTCATATTTTAATTTGTTCCCTCAAACACTGTCATTTTTAGGGGTGCTCCGATTGATCGGCTACCGATCACTATCGGCCGATAATCACGTTGGGATGATTGATTGGCGGTCTCTAAAAAGGCCGATCTCCAAAAACCGATCTCAAGCTAATGACGCTGCTGTGAGAGGTTTGGCACGACATGCAGCGGCACCGTCTCAGTCTCTGTCCGGACAGCGTGAGTGAATCACCGCTCTCTCTCTCTCTCTCTCTCTCTCTCTTCTTCTCTCTCAAAATACGCAAACGGCGTCAAATCACCACATCGCGTCTGTCTATAAGCTGCACGCTGCACAGTTGACACAGGAATTGTCACTTGCACAATCGAGGTAGTGTCACATCGTCACTAAAGTTTATAAATGGCATTACTTTTTAAATTCTTGCCAGTGTTTAACCATTCAGTGCCCGCATGCTCTCCTGGTACACACTCGCAGCGCACACACATAATGCCAGGTTCACATTACTCCGTTGGCAGTGCGTATGTGGTGTGTATTTTTTCCGCGCTCATGTTAACGGAATAATAAAGCGTGCACAATGCATATTATTAAAGTCTACGGTGTTTCACAGTAAACACATATAGCTTTTTGGCTAGGTTTAAAGGCAAAGAGCACTTTTAGATAAACAAGGCAATAATAGATGCACTCGTGGAGGAAGGAAAACAAAGTTGTTTATGAACCGCAGGATTGCTTGTAATAAAGATTTAAATGCAAAAGGAAAGGCAGAAGAGCTGACTGCTTCTGTCAATGGTAAGTTTGTGATAACGTAAGAAAAGTAGTTTAAATGTTTTGCCACTTGCTTGAGCAACTTAAAGGGATAGTTCATCCAAAATTTTTATTTCAGAAGCAGGATTCACTCAGGCTTGGAAAAGCTAGATATATATGGGAATTTCAAATGTCTGATTTCTAGACCTGGAAAAGTAATGGAAACTAAAAAATATATATATATATTTAAAAGGTCATCAATATTTCTATAATGAATATACATTTTTCTAGAATATACAGTTTATATATATATATATATATATGCTGATTTATTATCAATGTTTATTATCAATTGCTGCTTAATATTTTTTTGAAACTGTGATATTTCAGGATTCTTTGATGAATAAAAAGTAAAAAGAAAACAGCATTTATTTAAAGTAGAAGTCTTTTGTAACCATATACACGACCGTTCAAAAGTTTGGGGTCAGTAATTGTTTTTTTTTTTTAAAGAAATTAATACTTTTATTCAGCAAGGATGTGTTAAATTGATAAAAAGTGATAATAAAGACTTATATTGTTAGAAAAGATTTCCATTTTGAATAAATGCTGTTCTTTGGAACTTTTTATTCATCAAAGAATCCTGAAAAAAAGTAACTGTTTTCAACATTGATAATAAATCAGAATGATTCTGAAGGAAAAATGTCCGGCTGTAGAAACTTAGTTCTCTCCATCAGTTGTTGATTGGATGTTGAGATGGGGGCGTGGCACTCAAAATGTAGGCGGAGCTAAATGCACTGGACTGTAAGAAAGGGGCGGGGTTTAAGCAGAACACCAGCATATCAAACTAATAGTTGAGCACATACTTCTGGAATCTCCCGGGAAAAAACATCGGATAAGTAAACAAGCATCTGTAGATCAATAACCATGTGTATATACAGGAATATATTCCCAATGCTGTACTTCATATCATATCCAGAGTAAAGCTGAAACAGAATCTGGTGTGCATGTAAACTCAGTCAGTGACTCATAAAGAGCATGAAGATGTTTCTGAATCATGAACGATGAGTCTCTGTCTACATGAAGTTCACAGATGTGAGCAGAACCTGTTCCACATCAAACTCGCTCACAGAACGTGAACTATGCAGCTCTGAATCCATTCACACACCGCCGGCAGATCGCTGACACAGAAAACAGGAGGAGAGACTGAGAGGATTGATTTATAGTGACTGAAGGACTGATGCAGGACACACAGCAGAACTGAGCGCTCTTCACTGACCCCAGAACAGTCCTGAGTGAAGATCTGAGCTGGAGCTTCAAACCACAAACACTGAACCAGCCGCAGGTCGATGCACACGGTCTGTGCTGTTCCCAATGAGATAATCAATGCACACTGTAGTATATACCTGCATACTGGTGACGAGTTTTAAACTAGGACTTGTAACGTATGCAATGACAGACTCTTTACACATGACCTCATTATATGCCATATTTAATTCAGCAATTTGCGCCTAGTCAGTAAATACAATGACATTTACTTTGTGCAAAAACGTCTGAACTTTTGTCAGTCTGGTTGAATACCGAGTCAGGAAAGAGACACTAAAAATAACAGCTAGAAATGGAAGGTCTTGTCAAGTGCATTGCATTGTGGGATACAGGGACACATGCAGTGTGCTCTGTTGTTCTGCTCACTATAGCAAATGTAGTAGGTCGTACAGAGTACTTACTGAAAAATAGTATGAGTAGTATGTGTAGAGTGAGTGGTGTTAATATAGTGATAATATGAGACATCTGAGTAGCGTGTTTAGTGTGAGTAGTATGTATAGTGTGAGAAGTAGTATGGGTAGTATGTGTAGTATTAGTATAGTAGTAGTATTAATATGTATAGTATGTGTAGTGTGAGTAGTGTAGTGTGTGTAGTATGTTCATGTGGAGTTTAAGCAGTGTGAGTAGTATAGTGTGTATAGTTTGTATAGTATGTGTAGCTTTACTAGTACGTGTAGTGTGAGAAGTATAAGTAGTATGTAAAGAGTGAGTAGTATAATGAGTAGTGTGAGTAGTATGTGTAGTGTGAGCAGTGTAAGTAGTATAGTGTGCTGTTTGTATACTATGTGTTGAGTAGTATGTGTAGTATTAGTATGTATAGTAGGTGTAGTGTGAGCAGTTTAAGTAGTATAGCGTGTATAATGTGTAGTTGGTGTAGTGTAAGTAGTGTGTGTAGTAGTGTGTATAATATGTGCAGTGTGAGTAGCATATTGTCTATTGTATGTGTAGTGTGTGTGTATAGTATATGTGCAGTGTGAGTAGTGTGTAGTATAATATATAGTTTGTGTAGTATGTTTTGTGTAAGCATGTGAGTAGATTGTATAGTGTGTATAGTATAGTATGTCTACTTTGTGTAGTGTGAGCAGTATGGTGTGTATAATTTGTGTAGTGTGAGCACTGAGAGTAGTATTTGTAGTATGTGTAGTAGTGTGAGTAGTATAGTGTGTATAGTATGTGTTGTGTGAGCACTGTGTGTAGTGTGAGCAGTTTAGTGTGTATAGTATGAGAAGTATAGTATGTGTAGTGTGAGAAGTATAGTGTGCATAGTATGAGCAGTATGAGTAATGTATTACGTAGTAGTATAGTGTGTATAGTATGAGTAGTGTTAGCAGTGTGAGTAGTGTAGTGTGTATAGTATGAGCATTGTGAGTGGTGTAGTGTGTAGTAGTAGTATAGTGTGTATAGTATGAGTAGTCAGAGTTAGGGCTGTGTATCACCAGCAAAGTCACGATACGATACGTATCACGATACAGATGCCACGATACGATACGTAACACGATACAGGACTGCACTGAATTTCACCTCAGCAGAATTTAGTAAAACAGCTGTTTATTAAACACTGCTTACTAT